TGTAAATCTGCATCTCCACAATATAACCCTTTGAAGCTGCAGCAGCTATCTTGATTCCACCTTGACTTCCTGCATGAACAACCTCCATCATTCATGAATCATTTCTCCTGTGATCCGTGCTGGCCTGCGTCTCACAGCTATTAGCTTTCTCTGCCATCATTCATTTGGTTCCCAAGTTTTATATAAAAGAACACATCCACGACATCACTTTAGATGTGCCTGCAACATGTCAACCAATCAGCAGTCTTCACAGCTAAAGTCTTCGGCACCCATTGGCCATTAGGAAGAAACAGGTACATACAAAGTAATCCTGGAGATGTGTTTATTCATATAATTCTTTTGAAAAACTGTGACTCTTACAAGATCCTGTCGGCCCCTTCCACCAATCTCAGAGCAGCAGAAAGACCAAGTAATGACATCACTAGGTCTGTCTGCTGAAGAACATGTATTTCTTGAAAAGCAAAATTATACGATTGAAAAATTATACGATTGAAACATTTTGATTGCATATCTGTAAAAAAATAAGTCAAGGTAACTGGACCTGCTGTATTTTTCTTGAAGACGTTTCACTGGACATTTGACCAGCTTTCTCAATTCATAAAGATTTGTACAAAAATTTCCCTGGGAATAAATATAGTGAATCACGTCCAGTTGCCTTGACTGATTTTTTACAGATATACCATGACCTGGATGAATGAGAACGTTCACAGACATTTTGATTGCATGTTGGTTGGGGGCAAGGTGTTATATGCATATACTATACTTCAGCTTTAAAGTAAGAGGATCAGCATGACAGACAAGTTATATTTTCAGAAGGAGAGCTTAAAAATTGAATTTCTCTGACGGGTTTCCTTAAGTTTACCTGAAAAAGCAGAAATAAGCCATGAATAGGTTGCCAAATATTTGGAAATTGAGTAATAACTGCTTCATGTGAATTATAGCCAATGGGCTGTTGTTATTATTAGGTAAAAATGATTCCCTGCCCATGTTTATAGTAACAGGGGTACAAAGTTCCTAGACTGGAAACTATGTGAATACGCACGGTTATGATATTTGTGTCTCTTAGCTGATGTCTATTCATCCCCAGCAATGGGATTCCTGAATGCGTCTCACCATATGAGCAGAATTCCATTTTCTTATCTTGTTATTTTAGAATTGAGGGCAGAAGAGATTACAATTATTTTATTTTCTAGGTGTACACAGAAATGAAAAAGCAAATTCCGACATCGGCAAATCTCCACTCTGGAGAAAGTAAAGTTTTGAAGTCTGGATTTTATATTGTTGTATGTCTTCAGCAATGGCATGCTTTGTATTCAGAAATTTAATGGAAGAATCAAGTTCTAAGAGTGTTACAAAACGTATATGAGTGTGCTGGGTTTATGGGAAACAATAATGGCTTTTTTCATTCAATATTTCTAACTGAACATTTTATAGACTGCTGCTGTATATATTTATTTGCAAAAATAAATGTTACAGATGCACCAATGAGACGGTTTGCATAGCATGCTTTCTAATAAGAAAGACCAGCACTATCTACACAGATTTTGGCAGCCTCTCCTTACTGGTTAAAGAGACCATGTCACCAACTTAAATTTCAGAGAAAAAGCACAAAAATCAAGCATTTTAAATGCGCACTTGGAGTGTTTTTCCTTTCCATAAACTTTTTATTTATTTATTGATTTGCAAAGTGCCTGGGAGTTTGACTACTCCCTTTTTGAATGTCGTAGCCCTCTCTTCTTCTTGGAGTGTCTAATTAATGTCTGTGCTGACACTCACTTCCCCACATAACGTTTCATGTACCTGCCGGGCAAGGAGAGAAGGAAAATACTGTAAGTGACAGCTGTGAGTCAGTTGGGACTGCTGACATCACATCCAAGATGTGGTGCCCAGCAAGCAGTCTGAGGCCTTTTAAATGCCTTTACAGGCACATAACATGCATAAAATTTATTTAATGCACTTATAATATTTGGATTATATGGGAAATGTTTTGTTGAAATAAATGGACTGGTGTTGAATGGCGGGAGAGAAAGAGGGAAGGTTATAATTTTTTATACAGGCGTTTATGACCGCAGTGCGAGCTTCCTTCATAGGAGAAATACATGGGTCTTTGACCCTGTCCAACAATAACATTTACATTAAGCACATGCAATTCTGGAAAAAGTGTGTGCCATACAACCGTCCCTTTTTTTTGTGTGACCAACTTCTTTACACACAGGGCTCTGGCTAACATCTTTTCTACCTTGTTGCTGTGAGCAAATAGATTTTATGAGGGGAAATGTATTTTGACAGTCACTGAACCACCATCCACATTAGATTTCTTCTATTCCTGTCTCTGTAACAATTCAAAATGTTAGGCTTTTCTTTACTTTCAGTTCCACTGACAATCATTAGTAGATTTAGAGAGTGTGGATCTCCCAGGTAGGGACACAGCAACAAACAGGTCTAATCCTTTCATATCCAGGACTAAATAAAAGGCTTTGGAAACACTAAATATAAAAGTATGATAAAATGATTTGTGATATTTATG